CCCCCACCATGCCCTCTGCCCTGACCTCTGAACCCCCCCCACACACACACACCCAGCCTTCTGCCCTGAACCCCCATCCAGGTCTGGGGTCCCGAATGCCGGCCCCTTGCCAACCGGCGTCCCGGCCACAGGCCCTGCTCAGCCCGCTGCCGGCCTAGGTGAACAGAACCCCAGGCTGGAAGCGGGCTGAGCAGGCTGGCGGCGTAAGATCAGCATTTTAATTTAATTTTAAATGAAGCTTCTTAAACATTTTGAAAACCTTGTTTACTTTACAAACAGCAATAGTTTAGTTATATAATATAGACTTAGAGAGAGACACCTTCTAAAAAACGTTAACATGTATTACCTGCACGCGAAACCTTAAATTAAAGTGAATAAATGAAGACTCAGCACACCACTTGTGAAAGGTTGCCTACCCCTGGATTAGAGTATGACCATGCAAATCATTGTTGCTACCACTGTTATATAATTGCAACAAATCTTATACAAAGTGTGACGCATGGCTAGAAAGGGTTAAGCAGCTTGCAGGCTAAATGACCCAGAGCCAACCTTTAGACACATGTTAGAAAAGTATGCAAATGGTCATTAGGGCCATTCCATGGTAGAAAGGCTAGAATCTTTGAAATGCAAACCTGCATTGTTAGAAGTTAGAGGTGATACTAATTGTATGTGTGTACTCCTGTCTTGTTAGAGGATAACAATGTAGTCAAACAGTCCCTGTCTATGCTGTGTTCTGTTAATTCAAAGATCAAAGGAAATATTAACATATAAATGAACTATAAACATAGTATATGGCTGTATTCATCTCCTTTGAAATGTTTAGCAAATCAACAGAGAATGGTGGAAAACGGGCAATTGCCGTATGTTAATTTGTGTAGCTAATTACCGACGATGCTTAGGAAATAGGTCTACTTCAAAGTCTCCATGATTGTCTATTATTCACCTAAGGCCTCTGACCTGTCAAGAGAAGGCCTGGAACTGTATAAAAACCTCTTGGGTCCGGATCCTTTTAATCTCAGATCTGCTGGATGCTTCATGCATGGGAAACTTAAGCTGTAAGGCTGAGAGCTCCAGTCCTAACTGGATCCCCTGGATATGAACATTGGACTATAACCTATGGACTAATTCTGAAAGAATTCTTTGCAACTACGAAAATCAACATCTCTACTATGAATCTGATCTCAGAACTGTACTCATGTCTGTATGTATACTGATCTTTTAACCAATACTCTCTCTCTTTTCTTTTAAAATATATTTTAGTTTAGTTAACAAGAATTGGCTGTAAGCATGTATTTGGGTAAGATCTGAAATATTCATTAACCTGGGAGGTAATGTGCCCGATCCTTTGGGATTGGTAGAACTTCTTATATGGTGAATAAGATTTTCAGTAATCCTCATCATATTTGACTTGGGTGTCTGGGTGGAAGCCCAAGGCTGGGTTGCTGTAAGGGAATTGTGTTGTTGGCTTCTGGGTATCCAGTAAGGTATTATAGAAGCTGTTTTGGTAAATCTAAGTATTGGAATATCCACCAGCTTTGGGGATTGTCTGCCCCATTCTTTGCAGTTCACCTTAATTGAGTGACCTCAGCACGGCCCCCTGGGACTCTGGTCACACTTGGCTAACCCAACATCAGGCTCCTAAAGATTGTATGTATCATGATTTGCAGCTTGCGCTGCTGGCGACGGAAGCAGTGACTGCTCACCTCCTCTGCCCTCAAACCCCACAGCGAGAACGAGGAGTCTGGCTCGAGGGAGACTGAGTCGCTAGAGTACATGGGAAGAGAAGTGAGTGAGCCTGGCCCTTTGCCAGTGTCTCCTCCTGTGTCATTGTCTTTCCAAACACACAAGCTAGACTCAGGGCAGGTTTCTTTACCCTGCCATTTGGAGTTCACGAGAATATGTGCAGGTAACACTCACTGTCACAATCCCCCACTCCAGAGACTAAATCTGACCCTGACTCATTCCACTGCTTCCTCAGCCAGAGTTTATGCACTAATGCCAGTTCCAGGGTGAGATTTAGCTAATACACCTGTAAAACACACTCTGCATTACTGGCTGAGTTTGGGGGAGGACAAAGGGGCCCCATCGTAGGTTAGATGGATATTTACTCCACAGCAAGAGGAGGTGGTATTCATTAACCCTTCCATGACTGAACAGTACCTCTTTATCCCTTCTTTAGGGATGGGCAGGCCATTTTCAACAGTGCTTGAGCCTGGTGAAGAGACCCTCTCTTTGCTTCATTTTCTCCTCCTGCCCTTTTGTGTGTCTCATCTGCCTGCTCTACCACTGCTCTGTGAGGAGCTCTTTCCACTGCCAACCCACCATGCCCTGGCTGCCTGCAACAGACTGTATGGGCTCTCCAAGGCCTTAGCTCCAACGCTCTCATACACCATCCCGATGTCCAACCTCTGTTGGTGGTCTCACTGGGGCTGAGGACCTGGCCTTATGTGCCTGCAGAGACGAGCCTCACCCTGATGACTATGAACAATGCAAGCCAGATTAATGCTATCGCACAGGAATATGTGCAGCTCAGTCCATGGTACATATATACTCCTGGCCCCGCTGAATCCTGGTGGGGCATGTTGCAATTGCTGGACCTACAAAGTTACCCTCAGCTCAACTGTAACAAGTATGTGAAAATGCATAAGCTGTTACAATAACCATGAAAAATAGGCCAAGTTGTTTATGAAGATGAATGTTAGAAGAGGTGTGAGAAACCCAGACAGAGAAACTGTATTAGTCCAAACAACCAGGGTCTCCTGATATAATTCAAGGACTGTGTGAGATCAGACTTGGTAAACAGAACATGTGACAACAAAGTTACCTACGCCAAGTCTGGCCATAAATGGATTTCACTGGTGGACAACCTAAAGGGGGTAAAAGATACCACCTGCTCGTCCTCCGTTGTGAGGTTCTTAAAAAGAGACTTAGAAAAGAAGAATATTCCCCCAATCATCCTGTGACCTACCCACACTGCAGCTTGTCTCAGCTCCTCTCCTCTCCGCTTCCTCCACCTCCAGTGGGCAGGAGCAGGCCAGGAGAAGGACTTTCCTCCTGAGAGCCTGCTGGCCGGCCTGCCCTTGTTTAAGGAACCTGGTTTGTTACTTGTGAGTTTAGAAAATCATCACATCACCATGATGTCCAGTCCTCAGCCCATTGGTGTGGAAACCTCATTTCCCACACCACAGAGGCAGGTAAGAGCCTGCACTGTTTTCCCTTCCCTTGCATTGCTTTCTGCCCTCCCTCATCTCCTAGCCTTTCCCTCTGCTTTTCATTGGCTCCTGAAATCAGACGTACTGCATTCGTCCACGCCTGCCTCGTCTAAGGAGAACGAATCCAACCAGATGACACTCCTGCCCAGAGCATGCTCCAGGGTCCAAACGGCAGGTGCCTTGCTTGGCCTGCTAGCCAAAGCCAGAGCACCCATTTGTGACTAGCCAGCCTGCCAGTGTTGCAAAGCTGTATTTCCCCCACCTTTTCCACCCTCTCTCTTCTCCACATGGCCTCCATCTGTCTGTTAGAAACAGGAGAAGTGAATATCCTTCGCACATCAGGATTAACCCATCCTTAGGCTTTTCATCAAAGAAAGGTTGTTCTGAAAAAGACTGATATTTTGCCTAAAAAAGGAGAGAGACTTGAAAGGTTTTGATTGTTTGTTTTGCACAATCTCTCAGTTTCAGTATCAGTATCAATGCTTGCTTTAATTTCTTTTTCTTTCTTGTGTTTGATCAATAAACTTTCAGTTTTAGAATGAAAGATTTTGGGTTTTGTCAAGCAACTGAGCAAACTATGGTCTCGTAGATCCGCCCCCCTCAAACCTGTCACTCTGTAATGTGGGACAGTGAAGGAGTTTATAAACACCTTTAACACCTTAGGCCTTTGAGATCAATATTATACAACAGGCATCACTGAGCAGCTGTCTAGGCGGGAATCACCAGAGCAGCCAAACATCTACGGAAGAGTCCCTCAGCCTTGTGACCAGGTCTTGCCCCTGCGTAGATGTACAGTGTTGACTTTATCCGTCTTACTTTGTACCTACTGCCAGCAACTTTCCATCCAAGCATTACACAAATCAGGTGCAGGAGATGGAACCAAATGCAAGTTCATCTGCTATGCCCCAGCTTCTCTCTTCTTTGCCCCTGGTTCGGAGCTGCCCCGGCACTCCCCAAACTGTCAGCCATACTCCTCGTAGCTCTAGTGTCAGTGTCCACATGCCCTGCCCCGCATGCTGACTCTCGGTGCCAGCTCACACTGAGCAAGGCAGCAGCACCAGCTTACAGCTCATAATACATCAGAGCACACAAGACACTCCTATCATAGGGCAAAAATTCGTCCCTCGGATACACCTAGGAGACTTGCCTTGCAAGACTGGCACCTTTGGGCACTCCTTGCAGGCCCGGCCAGGCACAGTCATAACATTTTTACTCACTTTTCTGATTTTACAGGAAAAAGCTGCTGGCAGCAGATACCAGCCATGGCAAACCAGATGTTCAGCTCCCACAAGTCTCTGTCTCATGTCCCAGCAATAATGTCAGCTGGGGGTGGGCTCTAACTTGCTGTTCTGCTTGGACTGGCCCCGATCTCTGGGGATGGAGCTGATCAATCCCAAAGCTTCTTTGCAGTGCAGTGTGGATGCAGTTGGGTGCTGCATTCGTCTGTACTCCCATGTGAAACTGTGTGCCGTAGAGCTGTGCTCCACTGAACAACTGCTGGGGTGCTCCCGACACAAGCGTGTATTTCGGTAGAGGAAGAAGTGTGTAGGTCAATATGCGAAACTCGTAAAGTCCTTGGGAGTGAAAATGTGCACAAATCTCGCTCTCTCTCTCCTGCTGGGTACCTAGGCACTCCTATAAGTGGAGAGATCGCTGGCAATTAATGGAGGATGTGTCTACACTGCAATTGCCAGGTGTGGTTGCATCTCATGCATACCCAAGCTAACTTTGATGGAGCCAGCTCAGGGGCCAAAGCAGTGAAGCCATGGCAGCACAGGTTTCAGTGTCCCCTAGCTGCCCTAGGAACTGCCCTGCATGATAATGATGACAATAATGATGTCATGATCTCATGATGCTGCGTAATGACATCACAACACTACTGCAAATGGTGATGATGTCATACTGGGCTGGTTCATGCCCCATCATAATCAATAGGGTTTTCGCCATTGGCTGTAGAGAAGCTGCCTGGTGAAGTTCTGCCAGACGCTCACAAGACCCAGAAACACATTCAAGTTCTATGAGCCTTGCAAAAGCTGTGACAGTTGGGCCTGGGCCTGGTGTGTGGGTCTGGGTGGCTGGTAGCCCAGTACCTGGGGCCGTGGGGTCAATGCTGCACCTGCCTAGATTGGCCTGGGTTGAGAAAGTGTCCTTTAAGGAACAGTTCAAATCTTCAGCTAATTCAGCTCCTTTCCCTGGTTTATGAAGCAAACTAATGACGGGGAAAGTCCCATTGGATCGGGTTTTAGGAGTTTTACTGCTACCTATGCCAGCAAGTTGACATTCCCCTGAAATGTAATTGGAATTAATTGCACTGGGGCATTTGATATGTGGCTTCTATGTAAATTTCATCTCTAATCACAGCTCTGTGACTTGCAGAGAACAGTGACCCCCTTTTAAAGCCAAAGGGATTAAACCAACTGGGCCTTTTCTCAGATACTTTCTTTTAACCATTTCATTGCGCTGGCTCCAGAATGAATCACTTCTTGTGCATGGGGCATTTCCTCTGGCAAAGGAGACCACAGAGAGAGATAAAGGTAGAGCAGTTTTTAGACTAAGGGCTTGGGGAAAACCGATAGGTGTGGAGGAGCACATGGTTTGGACAGAGACATCCCTTAGGGGAGGATCTACTAATGGAGATTCTCTATGTCCTAGTAAGGAGGAGAGGATGGAAGACGATAAAATACGGGTAGGATCTGATGAGAAACAGACAAATGAAAAAAAGTCCCATTCAATTACAGTACATCATGTAATGGCAGACAGCTAAAAAGTGACAATTTTTTGAAGTGTTTATATACAAATACTAGAAGTCTAAATAATAAGATGGGTGAACTAGAGTGCCTCGTATTAAATGAGGATATTGATATAATAGGCATCACAGAAACCTGGTGGAATGAGGATAATCAATGGGGCACAGTAATACCAGGGTACAAAATATATCGAAAGGACAGAACAGGTCGTGCTGGTGGGGGAGGGGCACTATATGTGAAATAAAGTGTCGAGTCAAATGAAGTAAAAATCTTAAATGAACTAAACTGTACCATAGACTCTCTCTAGATAGAAATTCCATGCTCTAATAATAAGAATATAGGAGTAGGGATTTACTACCGACCACCTGACCAGGATGGTGATAGTGTGAAATGCTCAGGGAGGCTATAAAAATAAAAAACTCAATAATAATGGGGGATTTCAACTATCCCTATATTGACTGTTTACATGTCACCTCAGGACGGGATGCAGAGACAAAGTTTCTTAACACCTTAAATGACTGCTTCTTAAAGCAGCTAGTCCTGGAACCCACAAGGGGAGAGGCAATTCTTGATTTAGTCCTATGTGGAGCACAGGACCTGGTCCAAGAGGTGAATATAGCTGGACTGCTTGGTAATAGTGACCATAATGTAATTAAATGTAACATCCCTGTGGCAGGGAAAACACCACAGTAGCATTTAATTTCAGAAAGGGGAACTACACAAAAATGAGGAAGTAAGTTAAACAGAAATTAAAAGGTGCAGCTCCAAACGTGAAATCCCTGCAAGCTGCATGGAAACTTTTTAAAGACACCATAACAGAGACTTAACTCAAATATATACCCCAAATTAAAAAACATAGTAAGAGAACAAAAAAAGAGCCACCGTGGCTAACCAACAAAGGAAAAGAAGCAGTGAGAGGCAAAAAGGCATCCTTTAAAAAGCGGAAGTTAAATCTTTATGAAGAAAATAGAAAGGAGCATAAACTGTGGCAAGCGACGTGTAAAAATATAATTAGAAAGGCCAAAAAAGAATTTAAAGAACAGCTAGTCAAAGACTCAAAAAGTAATGGCAAAAAATTTTGTAAGTACGTCAGAAGCAGAAAGCCTGCTAAACAACCAAAGGGGCCACTGGACCATCGAGATTCTAAAGGAGCACATAAGGATGATAAAGCCATTGATAATAAGACAGAAAATATCATATTGCCTCTATATAAATCCATGGTACGGCCACATATTGAATACTGTTTGCAGATGTGGTCGCCCTATCTCAAAAAAGAAATATTGAAATTGGAAAAGGTTCAGAAACGGTCAACAAAAATGATTAGGGTATGGAACAGCTGCCATATGAGGAGAGATTAGTAACACTGGGATTTTTCAGTTTATAAAAGAGACAACTAAGAGGGGATATGACTGGTGTGGAGAAAGTAAATAAGGAAGTGTTATTTACTCCTTCTGATAATACAAGAACTAGGGGTCACCAAATTAAATAAATAGGCAGCAGGTGTAAAACAAACAAAAGGAAGTATTTTTTCACACAATGCACAGTCAACCTTTGGAACTCTTTGCAGAGGATGTGGTGAAGGCCAGGATCATAACAGGGTTCAAAAAAGAACTAGATAAGTTCATGGAGGACATGTCCATCAATGGCTATTACCCAGGACGGGCAGGGATGGTGTCCCTAGCCTCTGTCTGCCAGACGCTGGGAATGGGAGACAGGGATGGATCACTTGAAAGAATGGAAGTCATCAGGCAACACACGGGACTGGGAGCCAGGAATTGCTGGTGACACTGATTCACCCACACAGGGTGTAATAACACATGCATGCAGAAGGGCTCTGAGGCTCTGGTAAGGGCAGGTAATGATTGGTGTGTCTTTACCTACCTGGCTGGATTGAGTGGTAAATGTTCACCCAGCATTTGGGAGGGAAGGATCATTATTAAACAGCTGTCTCTCATTCTGCTTGTAGGCAAGGCTCCGCGGTTTTGATCCAGATTAGGCCAGGCTCGGGGGAGTGCTGGGATAGGCCGCAAGTGTCACCATTCCTCACCGTCCAGCCCCTGGCAATGTTAACTAAGGGAAGGGCCCTGGGGTGGGCCAGAGCTCTCTCTTTACAAATTACCTAGATCTGTAGGGATGGTGCCTCTGAATGACTGCTGCACCCAAACGCATTGCTAGGAGACCATGCTGTGTTTGGAGAGGACACTCCCCCCTCCTGGCCCCCACCCCACATGTCTGTGGGATTCTCCCCATCGGCACAGCTGCCCTGCACTGTAACAGCTGGCCACTAGGCTGCAGCTGGTGTCCATCCCTGCAGGCAAGCAGAGGAAGTGTGGCAGTGCCGGCTCTGCTGAGGCACAGAGCACCATGCATTTGTGCAGCGGTGGGAGCGACGCAGCCCCTAGGAACTTGGAGGCACTTGGTTCAGTAAACTCAGATGACTTTGCTCAGCTCCTGAAGCAGCTGTGGCAGTAGTATGTAAAACTATCTCTGAGAAACTAATTTAATCCCTACTTGGCCAGTCTCACTCAAAGACACACAGCTGATCCCTGGCCTCTTGGCAGGACCACCCTCAGTTCAGGAGCCACAAGCCCACGGTCTGTGTGGTATTATTCTGCTTGAGTTACACAGCCAGTGATCTGACAGGTTTGCATGGTAATCTCACTACAGCAAATAATATTGAAGGCAAAAAAAAGGTCCCAAACTAGCACATAGCTCAGACAAAGCAGGATGAGAGAGACACAGTTAAACCTGTGTTTCCTTAGCTTTAGCAGCACCCCAGTTTGGGGAGGGGGGATGG